TATACATGCATTTATACATAAGCATACTTTCATTAGTATGTGTGTCGAGTAAGCAACTTCTGTGTTGTGTTGTTGTGTGCACGTCGCTTACGCTCGTCGCTCTTTCTCTTTCATTTATTGTTGCGCAGAAATGTTAATAAGCTTCGTCAACATCGTTTGTATGTACAAATAAGTATATACATATGTATGAATGTATGTATGTAAGAGTATAATATATACAGACAAATACATACATACATAAATAGTTTGTTACATTAATAATAATTTTATACATAAATAAACAAAGAATTGTATGTATATAATAATATAGAAAGTTATGTAGAAGCAATTCAATGTTTTCTACTGAGATTGATGAGGAAAGAAGAGTTTGTTCATTGCTATAATTATGTAATTCAAATTTGGGTCATTTTTACGAATGTGGCATTTACAACATGCTCAACAACGACGACGACACGACGAGCGCTTTTGTGTGTGTGTCTGTGCGCGAGTCGGATATTTCGGCTGGTTTACCAAAAAGAGCTTTCGTGAAAGGGGAAAATGAGCAGAAACTTTGCATTACGTTAGTATTGGTTCGCCCGTGACAAACTTCAGCAAAAACAAGTTTGATCGTGTTAAATCCGCTCACTTCATAAATATGATGTACTTGCATGCATATACATACATATGTATGTACATAGCTACATACATTATTTTATGTGTGTATGCATTTCTAATTTAATAAAAATCCTTTCTTCTCTTATATAAACGTACATATTTGCATACATTAACAGAATATGTACTTTCATTTATTCCTACATTTATGTATATGTATGTATGTATTATGTACACACGAAGAGCGGATTGCAAAACTATATTATTGAAACTACGACGACAAATTCGAAAAGCCAAGCGTAACTGAGTGATCGTGTTTTGTACACACAGGCCTGCATATTTTCATAAGTATTTGTTTAGCTTTCGTATACACACAGACACATAGAGAGACACAGACACAGGCACATGTATCTATTCAGACTCATTTAGAGTAATTCGAAAGCTTTTTACATGCCTTTATCTAACACAAACACAAATAGGCATGAGTGAATATACACAGACAGTATACTCTCATTTATGCATATATTCACACGCACACATACATGCATAGAGAGAACTGAACCATCGAGAGAAAAGCTTTTTGTGAAAGGTGATTTTTTGTTGTTGTTGGTCGATTGTAAGCGCGTTTTTGCTGCTGTTATTGTATTTGTTGTTTTTGTTGTGTTCAGTTTTCGCCTTTAGCTTTATGAATTTTTTCCTTATTAAAACGAATGTATATTGAATGTACATACGTACATATGAATGTTTCTTTGTGTGTACATATGTTTGTACA